CACTGTCTAAAACTTGAATTCTGTTAGTCCAAGCTGCACCATTTTGTAAGCCCCATCATTTCGCAGATAGTGGTCAGAATGAAACATTCCACAGGGGTTCGGGCCGTGACAAACATCCTGCCCAACCACCGGACTTTCTTATCACACCCGTCTGTGTAAAAGTCCAAGCAACCTCCTTATTACATCTTGCTGGAAAAACGGCCAAACTGCCTGATCACAAGAACATCTTATCAACATCCATCCAGGCAGCAAGCCATACTGCCCCGATGCCTCCCACCAGTCTGAGCCAACATACAATTCCATTTTATGCCCTTCCTAAAAACATGCTGACTTCAGGGTACAACACTTTCTAATCCAAAATCTGATATTTTCTCACTCCATTTGCCATTCCCCTTCCACCTTCTTTCTAATCTTGTTTGCTCCTCCCTATGAAAGCCTTTGTCTGCCTAAGTTTTGCAATCCTTAAAGATTTTATAGTTGGTACTTCCTTCTGTTGCAATACTCTTTTAAAATTCAAATGTTTTAACATAAACCTAATTTTGTTTTATTTTACAAAATCTAGAAACTGCCTCAAAATAACAACTTTATTTTCAGTAAGACCCTCCCATTCCTTTTCGATTTTAACCTTAACTGCATCTGCATGTGGGTCCCCAGCTTTCCAGGGCTCTGTAGCTTCTCTCAGTATAAAGCCTTCTTCCATGCCTGGGGTGAGCAAGCTGGGACATCTGCAGGGGCGGCTCCCCAGAAAGAACTAACTGGGCCTTTAATAACCTCCTTTTGCAGACTCAATATTAGCCTTAGCTTGAAGTCACTGGGCTCAAGCCTTTATTCCATGTCAGTTATTCATTTGGTTTTTGAAACTGTTTGAAAAAATCCAGCAAAATTACTCAAACATGGTGTTAATATAAGAAATTTTTTTTTTTTTTTTTTTTTTTTTGGAAAGGGGGTTTTTCTCTGTTGCCCAGCCTGGAGTGCAATTAGACGATCTTGGCTCACTGCAATCTCTGCCTCCCAGGTTCAAGCGATTCTCCTCCCTCAGGCTCCTGAGTAGCTGAGATTACAGGCACCCACCACCACGCCTAATTTTTGTATATTTAGTAGAGACAGGGTTTCACCATGTTGGCCAGGCTGGTCTTGAACTCCTGACCTCAGGTGATCTGCCTGCTTTGGACTCCCAAAGTGCTGGAACTACAGGCATGAGCCACCACACCCGGCCAACAGTTATATTTTATACCTCAATAAGAAATGCAAAAGTATATATTCCTCTCAGAAAATAAACCCATTATTATTTCTATTAAAAATTATGTAGTAGGCCAGGCACGGTGGCTCACACCTGTGATCCTAACACTTTGGGAGGCTGAGACAGGTGGATCACAAGGTTAGGAGATCGAGACCATCCTGGATAACACGGTGAAAACCCGTCACTACTAAAAATACAAAAAAAAGAAAAAATTAGCCGGGCGTGGTGGCACTCTCCTGTAGTCCCAGCTACTCGGGAGGCTGAGGCAGGAGAATTACTTCAACCTGGGAGGCAGAGATTGCAGTGAGTCCAGCTTGTGCCACTGCACTCCAGCCTAGGCAACAGAGCGAGACTGTCTCAAAATAAAATAAAATAAAACTTATGTAGTAAACAACTAATTATATGGCAACACTTCTAGGAGTACCAAGTTTCAGCTCATAAAATTTAGCATAAATCTCAGAAATCAAGATGATAGGATATAAAACATAGTTAGTGTCACAAATTTACTCTGCCAAAAGAGGAAGTGATGTTTAAATAAATCTATGAAACTCACCAATTATTTACCACATTTTCTTGTGCAAATGTATTTATTTTCTGCAGTCAAAATGAAAGACATTTTTTCTATTCTTTTCCTTGGTAGCATTCTAAAAGCTAAGTCTTGGAATTCTGTTTGTAATCACCCAGCCATTTAAAAAAGACACACACACCTGAGAAAATTCCAGAACTCACTCTGGGCAAGAAAAAGGTAAATGAGAATTGTTAACAAATGGAGTATGAAATTAGATATTAATTTACTCTGAAACCCACCTCTTTGATGCCCTTTGTGAACATTTTCTTACCTTTTAAGTCCTACTAATAAAATGCCAATTACAGTTTAAAAGCTGATGTCAAAATAAGTGAATAAATTTTCTCAAGGTAACAAACCTAACGAGCGGCAGTACTAATAAGGAAACAAATGTGTCTGACTCACGTGTCAAATCAGGCCATCTAATCACTTGATTCTCCCACTCCATCCTGCTTAAGTTCTCAAAGACCACCCTCTCAGGAGACACTGCCCTGTGCCTCAGTGAGTGCCCCAGGTGCTTTTTACTTTGCAAGTTCTTGTACCATTTCACTGGGGTCGTGTTTGGGTTTTTTGTCTTTGGGGATACTATTTTTTCTTTCACAAATCTTAGAGAATACAGAGGGCAGAAATTATTTCTGTGCTTTACCCTCAATGGCAGCATCTGATTGGCTAACCAGCAATGTGTCTCCAAGAAATAAGCTGGGTTGGGTGAAGACAATCAGTATCTAAAAAAGCCTGGGCATGGTAGCTCACACCTGTAATCCCAGCACTTTGGGAGACAGAGATGGGCAGAATACCTATGGTCAGGAGTTTGGGACCAGCCTAGCCAACATGACAAAACCCCGTCTCTACTAAAAACACAAAAATTAGGCCGGGCACACGCCTGTAATCCCAGCACTTTGGGAGGCCGAGGCAGGCGGATCACGAGGTCAGGAGATCAAGTCTATCCTGGCTAACACGGTGTAACCCCGTCTCTACCAAAAAAACAAAAAATTAGCGGGGGGTGGTGGTGGGCGCCTGTAGTCCCAGCTACTCAGGAGGCTGAGGCAGGAGAATGGCGGGAACCCGGGAGGCGGAGCTTGCAGTGAGCTGAGATCCGGCCACTGCACTCCAGCCTGGGCGACAGGGAGCGACTCCGTCTTAAAATAAATAAATAAATAAATAAATAAATAAATGGAAAAGAGGCACAGAGATTTTTACAATAAAGTGTCAGGGGTATTATTCTTTGCTTTCTTCTCATGGAAAATATTTTCAAACAGAAAACAAAGTGCCATTCAACACTTTATCAAAAAATGATTAAAATACGGAATATAAAATCCACACTGAATGACAAAAATTTAAATGCATTCTAAATCTAATGCTTTTTGTTTGTTTGTTTGTTTGTTTTTGAGACAGAGTTTCGCTCTTGTTGCCCAGGCTGGAGTGCAATGACCCGATCTCGGCTCACCACAACCTCCGCCTCCCGGGTTCAAGCGATTCTCCTGCCTCAGCCTCCTAAGTAGCTGGGATTACAGGCATGTGCCACCACGCCCAGCTAATTTTGTATTTTTAGTGGAGACGGGGTTTCACCTTGTTAGCCAGGATGGTCTCGATCTCCTGACCTCATGATCCACCCGCCTCAGCCTCCCATTGTGCTGGGATTACAGGCGTGAGCCACCGTGACCGGCAATCTAATGCATTTTTTTTGTAAATTACTCTTTGGGGAAACAAAATTCAGCCTTAACCAACCATAAACTGCCAATTAACCATGATTACCCAACCAGGAAATTTCCACCTTGATCATACAAATTAAGAAACTACATAACTCTACTAAATCAATTATTGAATTTGGGTTTCTCCATAATGCACTTTATAAATAAAGTTTTTTCCATCATGCACTCTATATATATAGTTTTTCTTTCATATATAAAGTTTTAGGGACATGGATGAAGCTGGAAACCATCATTCTGAGCAAACTATCGCAAGGACGGTAAACCAAACACCGCATGTTCTCACTCACAGGTGAGAACTGAACAATGAGAACACTTGGACACAGGGTGAGGAACATCACACACCGGGGCCTGTCGTGGGGTAGAGGGAGGAGGGAGGGATAGCATTAGGAGATACACCTAATGTAAATGACAAGTTAACGGGTGCAGCACACCAACATGGCACATGTATACATATGCAACAAACCTGCACATTGTGCACATGTACCCTAGAACTTAAAGTATAAAAAAAAATTTTCTAAACCTAAAAAATAAAGTAATCGTTATAGAAAGTGCTATGTAGAGATATTATAAGAAAAGCAGTAAAATTTCATTGTAAAGAAAAATAAAGTTTTATATATAAAGTTTTTCATGGACCACAAACTACAAACCATAGCTAGTTGGGTGCTCTTCAATTCTTGAATTACTCTTTGATTTTATTCTTTAATATTTTTGCCTTGACTCGCTTAATTTTTATTTTTTTCTTTTTTTTTTTTTGAGACGGAGTTTCGCTCTTACTGCCCAGGCTGGAGCGCAATGGCGTGATCTCGGCTCACTGCAACCTTCGCCTCCCGGGTACAAGCGATTCTCCTGCCTCAGCCTCCAGAGTAGCTGGGATTACAGGCGCCCGCCACCACGCCAGCCTAATTTTTGTATATTTAGTAGAAATAGGGTTTCACCATGTTGACCAGGCTGGTCTTGAACTTCTGACCTCAGTGATCCACCTGCCTCGGCCTCCCAAAGTGCTGGAATTACTGCGTAAACCACCGCGCCCGGCCCGACTCCCATAGATTTTTAATTAAAAAAAAAAAAAAAAAAAGGCGGGAGGACTGGAAACACCTGGGACCAAAGCTCCTCTTCTCACTCATGAACCCCACACTCCGAGTCACGATTTTCCCTTGACTACCGTCCAGTGGTTACGGCACACTAGGGAAGAGATGCGGCGCTGCGGGTGCAGAGTTGCCCAGAGAGGGCTCCAGGCCATGGCACAGTCACTGCGCAAGGAGGAGACACGACGCCCGGGGTCCCGGCTGTCAGCCCAGCCGCCATCTTATGGCTGAAGGGGACTGAGGGCCGAGCTGCGCCAAGGACAACTCTGGCCAAGGAGAACTCGGGACACGGATTTTGGAGCCGACAGCGGGGAGGCAAGAGTCCAGCCACAGCCTCTTCAGACTGGTTCCAACCAGCCCCTCCCCGTCTCCCGGTGCGTCGGACCCGGCCGACTCACCATTTCTAGGCTTCCTGGGGGGTCCTGGCATCTTAAGCTGTGGATCTCCCAATACCTACAGGTTACAGGGACACAGAGGCTAGGCCTGTAGGACCAGAAAACACAGAACAGAGAAGACAAGACCTGGAGCTGCGGCTGCAGCCGAAGACCGCGCCAAATCTCGAAAGCCGTCCTGTCCTCTCCAGCTGCGTTCCTGATTGGATGGATCGCAGCCCAGCGTCCCTGATTGGATAACGTTTAACATCCCACCCCCTCAGGCCCTGAGTGACAGAAGACGTGCTCAGGGGCTGGGCTGAATGAAAATAGAGTGAAACCTAAGCTGCAGCTTTTTCAGGCAGGGCTTCCTCCCTGAGCTGAGCCAGGCCTGCCCCAGAGGGTATTTGCATTTAACCATGTGTATAAGATCATATGCATTTATAAATAATATATGGCTATTCACAAGTGAAGATAATGTAATAACAATTATTTTGAAATTCCAGATTTTATTAACTTACCAGCTTCTGGTCCTTTGAGTAGGCAGCCTGAGATTTTAAAAAGAAGGCAATTCTCTGAAATAAAATGTGGGCCACATGTGAATTCTAAATTTTCTAGTAGTCAATTTTTTTTTTTTTTTTTTTTGAGAGGGAGTCTCACTCTGTTGCCAGGCTGGAGTGCAGTGGTGCGGTCTCGGCTCAGTACAATCTCCGCCTCCTGGGTTCAAGCAATTTTCCTGCCTCAGCCTCCTAAGTAGCTGGGATTACAGGCGCCCGCCACCATGCCCAACTAATTTTGTATTTTTAGTAGAGACGGGGTTTCACCATGTTGGTCAGGTTGGTCTCGAACCCCTGACCTCGTGATCCACCCGCCTCGGCCTCCCAAAGTGCTGGGATTACAGCCAGGCGTGAGCCACCGCGCCTGGCAATAGTAGTCAAATTTTAAGAAGACAGAAGCAACAGGTGGAATAAATGGCAACCATTTAATTAACCCAATATATCCAAAATATTATCATTTTAATGTGTGAGCAATGTATAATTATTAATGAAGTATATTTAATTTTCACTCTAACTTCCTAGCACATCGCAGTTCAGACCAGCCACATTCCAAGCACCCAGTAGCTACATATACCTAATAATTGTCACATTGAAGTGCAGCTGTGATGTCAGGGTAGGTGAAGGGCCTGAAAATCCCTTTTCTGCCAGAGGTGAAGGAAGAGCCTCTTCCTACCAGCATCTCTCTTTAGTTCCGAGGGTGCAACAGATAATGACCATAGAAAGAGCAGAAGGTGGCCGGGCACGGTGGCTCACACCTATAATCCTAGCACTTTGGGAGGTCAAGGCGGGCAGATCACTTGAGGTCAGGAGTTCAAGACCAGCCTGGCTATCACGGCAAAAACCCATCTCTACTAAAAATATTAAAATTAGATGGGTGTGGTGGCTGGTGCCTGTAATCCCAATTCCTTGGGAGGCTGAGGCAGGAGAATGGCTTGAGCCCCAGAGGCGGAGGTTGCAGTGAGCGAGATCATGCCACTACACTTCAGCCCAGGCAACAGAGCAAGACTCTGCCTCAAAAAAAAAAGAAAGAAAAGAAAAAAAAGAAAGAAAAGAAAAAAAAGAAAGAACAGAGGGCAGCAGAAATAAAATAACCCCAGGTAGACCACTGCTGGCCACCTGTTTCCCATTTTTGTTGCAGAGATCAAGCAGTGAACAAAGGATGATGGGTCCACAGCAGAAAAAAACTCTGTGTCTTCAGATATGTTCACAGTCTTGACCTCTAATGTATAAATATAGAGAAAACAAATGAAAGGTAAACTTATTTTGCCATTTGGCCTTGGCCCTAATGGTCAGGCTGTGGTTATCTGTTTTCTCCTGTGGTTTGTGGGAATGTGTGAGTATAAGCACCAATCACATACACACATGTCTACACGTATTTATTTATTTCTCAATATTACAAAACATCCAACTTTAAATCAAGAAAAAAAAGTCAGCACTTTTAGGGTACCCACTGTTAGAAGGTAACTAGTAATCAACCTGCCATTAAATTTTGGCATCCTATCTGCACTGGATACCTGTATTAGTTAGCTCTTACAGCATAACAAACCATCCAAAACTTCTTAGATCATAATCGTGATGGTCAGCCATTTAGGCAGGGCTTGTTGGGGCCATTCTTCTGGCCTCAACTGAGCTCCTTCAGACATGTATCATCAGCTGCCTGTCAACTAGGCAGCTGTGCTTCTGGGCATGAGCTTCTGCTTCTGGGATTGTCAACAAGGGGCACCTTGCTTCTCCTCCCCATTGTATCTTATCCTCTAGCTGGCAAACATGGGCTTTTTTCATGGAGATGGTAGCATTCTGAAAAACAATTAGAAGCATTTAAAACCATTTGAGCCTAGGCCTCAAACTAGCACACTGTCATGTTCACAGGTTTCTACCACCTTGAACAAATAAGGCCAGCCAGATCTGGAGTTTGGAAAACAGATTCTGGATCTCGATGGGAACGCCTGTAAAAGCACCTGGCAATGGGCATAGAACAGGGAGAATAAAAAAATTGCTACCACTTGCGCAATCAGAATCATTCTGTTTTTTGGTTTTTTGTTTTGTTTTGTTTTTGAGTATATGTGGCTTATAGAACTCTTCCACATCAACAAATTGCCCAAACACCCACAGCTATTAAGTGACTGGGCTGAGACTCACTCCCCAGGGCTCTAAATCCTGGAGAGTAACACTTCTAAAATAGAAGCCAGATTCCTTTTAGATTTGTGCCCAATAGTACTGTTTATTATTGGAAATAATCTCAATAAATTGCATAAGCACATGGTGGCTCATACCTGTAATTGTAGCACTTTGGCAGGCTGAGATGAGAGAATCATTTGATATCAGGAGTTAAAGTACAGCCTTGGTAACATAGTAAGATCCTGTCTCCATGAAAAATACATTATCCAGGAATGATAATGCATGCCTTTATTCCCAGCTACTCGGGTGGCGGGGGCAGGAGGATTGCTTGAGCCTGGAAAGTTAAGGCTGCAGTGAGCCATGATTGGTTACACCACTGCACGTTAACCTTTTGAGACCTTGTCTCAAAAAAAAATTAAAATAGCCGGGTATGGTGGCTCAGGACCGTAATCCCAGAACTTTTGGAGGCTGAGGCAGGCAGATCACCTGAGGTTGGGAGTTCGAGACCAGCCTGACCAACATGGAGAAACTCCCTCTCTACTAAAAATAGAAAATTAGTCAGGCGTGGTGGCACATGCTTGTAATCCCAGCTACTCTGGAGGCTGGGGCAGGAGAATCACTTGAACCCGGGAGGTGGAGGTTGCAGTGAGCCGAGATCGCAGCATTGCACTCCAGCCTGGGCAGCAAGAGCGAAACTCCATCTCAAGATTAATTAATTAAATTAAAAAGAAAATTACAGAAGATTTTTGTTTGTTTGTTTTTTTGTTTTTTTTTCCAGATGTAGTCTTGCTTTGTCACCAGGCTGGAATGCAGTGGCACAATCTCGGCTCATTGCCACCTGCGCCTCCCAGGTTCAAGCGATTCTCCTGCCTCAGCCTCCCAAGTAGCTGGGATTACAGGTGCGCACCACCACACCCAGCTAATTTTTGTATTTTTAGCAGAGATGAGGTTTCACCATGTTGGCGTGATCCCAGCACTTTGGGAGGCTGAACTTTTGACCTCAGGTGATCCGCCGACCTTGACCTCCCAAAGTGCTGAGATTACAGACCTGAGCCACCACGCCTGGCCAAGTTTCTAAAAACTTCAAAAACATGCACAATCCTAGAGTATTATGTTTCTTTTTGATTGTGTGTGTGTGTGTGATGGAGTCGCACTCTGTTGCCCAGGCTGGAGTGCAATGGTGCAATCTTGGCTCACTGCAACCACTGCCTCCCGGGTTCAAGCGATTCTCCTGCCTCAGCCTCCTGAGTAGTTGGGATTACAGGCATCTGCCACCATCCCCAGCTAATTTTTGTATTTTTATAGAGATGGGTTTCACCATGTTGGTCAGGCTGGTCTCGAACTCGTGACCTTGTGATCCACCCACCTCAACTTCCCAAAGTGCTGCAATTACAGGCGTGAGCCACTGTGTCTGGCCAAGTATTGTGTCCTTAAGAAGGTTTATGAAAAGATGGAAAAAGTCCAGACAAGGTGAGTACAGGTTTTTGATAATTTTAGGATTGTATTGTTTGGACCGGGTAGGGATCGTAAGAATTCTAAAGAAGAGATGGACTTATAAAACTACTAATTTAGGCAAAACAAAAATTAATTAAACATCAGGAAAATAGTCTGCCACAATTTTATGCTACAACTGAAATTTTTTAGATATACTATTTGAATAAACTCTGTCACTCAAGCCAAATTACCTGTGAGAATCCCTCAGTTATCAGTGCTATGGACCTAAATTGGAGAAATAAGTCTGGTATTAAACAGGACATAAATTCAATGTTAAGTGTGGATTCATGGAGAATCTAGACAATCAATAGCCACTGTTCATTAATGAGTTCTTAATGTTTCCATTATTGAAAACTCTGTATTCCATTAATCATCACAAAAGAGATAAAATAATATAAATTAAATAAAAATTAAAGGCTGGGCATGGGAAGCTGAGGCAGGAGAATAGCTTGAACCCGGGAGGCAGAGGTTGCAGTGAGCCAATATCACACCATTGCACTCCAGCCTGGGTAACAAGTTATATATAAATTAGATGAGTGTGTGCGTGTGTGTGGTGACTATTCTAAATTACTAAAATACATTGACTAATTTTTTTTGGTCGAACATAGTATCCTGAGAAGACAATCAAAACTTCATGTACTGCTGAAGTACATTCTACTACCTGATGGGCCATTTAAACATTTACAGAGAAATTTTATTCAATTATCATTTATAATGCATATTTTATGGTAATATAATAGTTTTCTCACACAAGAAGGCTGATGTTATAATACTAGCTAAAAGGATATGAGGAAATATGTATTCCTCATGGGACATTTCTAAAAAAGTCTTCAATAATAAAAATACTTATTTCACTAGACAAGCTGTAAATCTGTTAAATAAGGTATTACAGATACAATAGTATTGAGCAAAGCTAACTAAATTGACTGGATTGCTCTTGTGATTGCAGGTTGATGACAATCAGATCCACTTAGAGTGGGAAAAATGTGTTGACCCTTATAAAATAGTAATTGGAAGGCCTATGCACC